AAGAGACCCAGCATCCTCATCACAAAACAAACTAATAAAGGAACCTCTCTTACCACTCAATGTCTATGTGGAGATTATTTTGGTCTACTTACATTGGTTAAGTCACCTGTTAGGTTAGTTCATACCTAAAATGTTATCTAGTACTAACATGCTTTTGGAAAGCACACAGAGATAAAGCACTTTTTACTTTCAAAGCTCTCTATGACGATGATGTCTGCTCAGCATCCCTGTGAGGTAGGCAAAAATCAGCTGTTTTCTGAGACACAGAGAAGTTAAGTGACTTCCTCAAAGCCATGGTGAAGAATGTGTTATTTACTATTAATATCCTTAAGAACCTGGAATGATACTGTTTTTCACAGACAGGGAACTGGAGGCATCTGCTAGTAAGGAATTACTGAATTTTCATCTCATTCTTACTATTAAAATGCTTTGAATCCCCCTCACCTTGAAAAGTGTTCCACTAACATGTACTAGTGAGCTCTTCCTTCATCTCTGTAACAAAAAGCACTGGTCCTTTCCAGCAGAAAGCAGACATCCTACGCAGGGGGCTTTTCCCTGCTAGTAAAGGGTAGCCTAGATGTAATTAGAGTGACATACACTACTCCACCAATGATCACATCCTAGATCTTTCCATCATTACAATTACCACTATCAAAGATATGAGCCAAATATTAGTTACTTTAAGGAATTTAGCTTGAGTACTCTAGTTTACGTAAAAGAAGTAGAAAAAGATAACTGTCCATTCTCTTAAATTGATACCTATACAAGAACAAACCATCATAAAATAAAGCACGCAGCTGCTACAAAGGGTAGCAACAAAGCCATGCTGGGATTAACCTCATAAACCCACATATCCCCAGTTGCAAGGTTAACAGATTCACCAGCTCAGTCCATATCCCTAGGAAAGCTTTTGCTTCGCAGGAAAGTGAAGTGGGTCTCAGAGCCAGGCTCTTCATTATTCTATAGGTCCACAAAGACATACCAGTAGATACTGTGTTGGGTATATCTGTATTGAAATATATATATCCCCCTTCATCCAGCTGAGCTGAACTTCGGCATTTTCTCCTCATGTTTCTAATCCAAACAAGTATTTTGCTGTAGAAAGCAGCACACAGTTGCTGAAGTCCATCTCCTCTTGTCTTTTGCCTAGTGAGATTAGAGATCATTTGCCCAATTTTAATAAAAGATGAATCTGTGGCTCATAAAATATGCCTGCAAAGAGTCCTTCCCATTGACTACAGCTCAGTTGCAAAGCAGGAGACCAACAGCTGGGTAACAATGGATAACATGAAGACATAAAAAAGTCACTTAAATGTCTATACCATGTAATCTTGTACCATCAACTCAGCTTTACTACTGTCAGTACACTCCACTAATATAACACTCGGCACTTTCAGATGAACACCACAAGGGTGTAACTTACCTATGACAGATGCAGGATAACACCATGCTAGTTTATTGCTGTTTTATTGCTCACACTTAAAAGCCCTTCATATAGTGGTTAGCACACTCTCACTTGGTTCAAAAGCAAGGTTGTGCTCCAGGCACCAGTTCAACACCTGTATCAATTCCTCTGAAGCTTTCCACAACTCCAATAAACTAACTTTTCACCAAACCCCTGAATATAGGAAATGAACACTTTTTCTTCAACACAAAATTCAGTTGCCACTGAGTAACATGGTATGGATCAAATCAATCTTTGCACTGGAAGTCAAACTTTTTCTCAGTTGTGTTTGGCATTTTTTTCACACTGCTACATAATTGCTGAAACAATCAGTTCTCCAAATGGCCACATGAATAATCAAGTGGCAAGGTCTGCAGAAGAAAACAAAACAATGTAGTAAGGTGTAGAGGGGCAAAAAAAAGAGGTGAGGAACTTCACTTCAGAGATAACATTTAAATATGATTCAGTCACACTAACTGGACTCTAGTAGGAAGAAGCTTATTAACAAAAATGGTTTATTTCTGTTTCCAGTCCTAATTCTTATTCAGAGCCAACGCAATAATCCTCGTTTCTTTTTCCTAACCCTGTATCTTTCCCCTTTGCTCAACTGGGCTTCTTTTTGGGCTTCTTACTATAAGACATTTGATTACAATACTCCAGGCCTCTAAATAAACAGAGAACAACCACTGAAAAAGTAATTTTTTTTTTTAAAACTACGAATTTCTTCTTCCACTCATATAACCATTAATCTATATCCAGACAGAGAAATCTGGCACTCTGTCAGCTCCCCCTTAACTCCAAGACTGTCATTTCAGAGAACGAATTCTAAGCAAATGCAAAAATGGAAACTACTTGTTTTTCTATGCATTGAGGGCTTTTCAGCTTCAGCTTTTGTAGCAGAATAGAAGTTTACTGGTTTTGGCTTAAAGTTTGTGCAGAGGGCTATTTGTGCTCCATTTTAGCACCAACATCCCACAGAAATACATAACTTTGAAATTTCTAGACTATAAGGACCAAGCAGAAGCAACTGCATTTCGGGGGGCTTGGAAATAAAAGCTCAAAATTTGGCTAGAAAAAAAAACCAACAAAAATTAAAACATAGAGCAGATAAAAATGAACTGTGCTCACAAGGGAGTGAAGTAATAGCACCTACATTATTGTGATGCTAAACATTTGGCAGTGTTTTCTGTTTACCACACAGGAGCCACTGGACTCCTTGATCAAGGTAAGAAAAGGAGTCATAAGAGCAATCACTGTGCTTATGAAGGGAACAGAGAGTTTGTGTTTGAGGCTCAATCTTACTTTCATTGAGTTGACAGTGAAAGAATTCAGTGACAGAAGCATGAGGTTCTTTAAACACTTCCTTGTCCTCACGTTGCCTTGCTCCCCTGAAGCAAAGCTGCAAAGTTCACCCCTTCCAAAGAACTGACAGATCACTTTTTTAAGTCCATTGCACAAGCTAACCAAGACCAGAAATTATAAAATTCACATACAATCAACAGCTCAAGACAGTCTCTTCATTCTTCCCACTGTCCATAATGGGTCATCTACCCATATAATTCACTGTTAATCAGCATTAATACTGATTTGTGAGGCCTGACTCTACAGCTCTTGTTACAGTTTGGGCAGAGCACCAGCTGGTGCTAGTGTAATACCAAAAACATAGAAAAGCCCCAAGAGGAGATTCAGTTTGGCTGTCCGCTGAGGAATTTTGTTGAAGCTCTGACTCCGAAACTGCCTCTCCAGTGAAAATGCCATCGGGATGGTGAGTAGCGGCAACGCCATGCTGATGGTATAGCGTGTGGCCAGCACACAGAAAATCAGGTAGGGCAAGAAGAGCAGCACGGTGTAGAGAATATAGGAGAACGCAGGGCCGATGAGGATGGCCAAGGTGACAATACCCGCCTGCCGGTCAGACTCCATGTCTCGTGTGTTGTTGCTGTGCAGGATGGCCTCAGTACTGAGAGCTAGTGGGATAGCGTAGAGCAGTGGTGAGACAGACAGATAACCAACCTGCACAGCATGGGCAAACATGACAGCCAGGGGCCCAAAGGTGATCAGGATCACCACGTCTCCAAGTGCAAAATATTTAAATCCAATTCCTGTGGCAAGACACAAGAATAAAATGAAGCATCGTCAAACAACTCAAATGACAGAAGAGAAAGGATAATATAATAAATCAGCCCTTCCCACAGAAATATTGTAAAATGACCAATGCTATGGCTGAGAAGCACATCTTCTCTTTTTTCCAAAGATAATAGAGGAAATGCAGCTTCTGAATTTCCCCAGTCAAACAACGTAACAGAAACTAAGGTCCACATTCTAATACCCGTCTTCACATCTAGAAGTACCTATTTCTGCAGAAATCTATAGAAATAAGGCACTCTTTAGTGTGATCATGCATACTAGAACCTGATCCTGAAGAAATATATAAAGTGCTTGGAACAAAACACAAAACTGACAAGATTCTTTCAAGAAAACTAACATAACTGTTTGCCTTTTTGAAATTGAGTTTGTTTTTCTTCTGCTGATAATCATGTTTGTATCTACCCAAGGCTGGAGGACAATAAAAACATCCTCCTCTTATTAAGAACAAACACAAACTGTTCTACGTTCACAATGAAACTCCATCTAGAGAATAACAACCAAACATTCCAAAACAAAGTAACAGATTCCACCAGTGGAAAAGAACATATGCAGTGAGCTGTACTGCTGAGGGATACAAGACACACATCATGAAAAGTTTCAGCAATAGTTCTGATGAGCATCTAAAGCCATACATATAAACAACGTCTCAATGCCACCTTCTAAGTGAAGGGCTCTGTGTGTCTCTTCCCACATCAATCAGTGGCAAAGAATACAAGTTTACGTACTAGTACTCCAGGATATACCACCAAATATTTTTATGGCAGTTAACTAGATAGATCACTTGCATCTTCTAGAAACTCTTGACAAGTCAGCTAATTCTGTCATTTACATTCAGATTCACAGCAAACAGGATACAGTACTTACCTCCAGTGTAAAGGAAGGAGCTGGAAAGTCCTCCAAAGTAAATCAGGGCCAGGTGCTCCAGCTTGAGCGTTGAGAGAGCGTAGAGCCCAGCAGCACAGATACAGCCCACAGTATAAAGGAAGACTCCAAACCGGACTACGTCCTGAGGCTCTAAAATCTGGTCCACCAAAGTCCTGTCATCACTCTTCTTGTGATCGATGCCTTTGGAGAAGTCGTAGTAGGTATTCACCAAGTTGCCAGCTCCGTGCACAGCCAGGACGGTCACGGCGCTTCCCACCAACAGCCCCGGGTCTAGCGCTCCCTCGGCCCGGTACGCCAGAGCGCTGCCGAGGGCCACGGGGGTGAGGGAAGCACTGAAGCTCCAAGGTCTGAGCGCCAGCACATAGGCCGCGCACTTCTGCCTCCAGGTGCCGGGGGGGACCCTCTCCGCGCCCGCCAGCGCGGCTCCGGAGCCGTTCCTCTCGCTCCCCCAGGGGCTCTCAGTGCTAATGCTGATCTTCTGCGCCGGGTCTCCCGGACCCATGCCTCGGGTCTCCCGCCGCCCCGCCTCAC